TGGGTCTCTACTCCACCTTCTACAAAATGAAGTATTGTTACTTACCACTTTTATGAAGTGTTACATCAGTAAAAATGCTACATAACAGCCAAGCTGTATGTGAAACAAAATACTAAATAAAATGAATCAAGCCAGGCCCTGGTGATGCATGCCTGCAGTCCCAGCACTCGGGAGGCTTAGGCAGTAGAATCACCTTCAGTTCAAGGCAAGCCTAGACTACACAGCAAGATCCTGTCGTCCAACCCCAAATATAATGGTATCACTTAGTGGGAAAGATGTATTTACAAAAGTTAACTGTAAAGTGAATCTCCAGTAACCAAATGATACGCATTTCACCATAAAATAAATAATATATAAAAAATAAATACAAATTACAATAAATATAGTTAACACTATATCTCAATTTTTTCTGTAAATTATCATAATTATGAACTACAAGATGCTATTTCAAATCTACACTATCTTGGAGCTGGATCTATACATGGGAAGGGGATCTGTACTCTGAGCTTAGCTGGCCTTTGAAGTGTAAATCTGAAAAATAAGCTGGCCAGAAAATGACACTGTATCCCAGCTCTCAGGAGGCTGAGGCAGGAGGATTGCTGCTATTAAGTGAGCTCAAGGCCAGTTTGAACTGCATAGTGAGAACTGTCAAAAAAAAAGAAGGGGGACACTATCAATAGGATATCTCTCCTTGAGGTAGAGACTATGTCCAAAGATACAATTATAGCAGAGTTCAATAGAGGCACTATTACTTATAGCAAAAACTGAGGATAAAATAATTATGACAGTCACAGAATAAATACAAAATACTTCACATTCAAGATATATAAAAGCAGCGCTGACCAAATAGCTCAGAGGATTAAAGTGCCTGCAAGCAAGCACAGGGGCTGAGGTTCAATCCCCTGGCCTGTGGTGCCAGCCCCGCCCTCAGGGCGTGCTGAGACAGCAATTGAGACTAGGCCTGGTGGCGCGCCAGAAATCCCAGCACTTGGGAGACTGTAAACAGGAGAATCACTATGAGTTCGATCTAGTAGTGAGACCCTGAGCACCTTGTAGACCCTTCCCTAAAATACAAAAACAAAAAAGATATATAAAAGTATACTTGTTAATATACAAAGATGGGGATGCGGGCAAAATGGTGGCCTAGCGCCGTTAAGCAGTGCAATAGTAAGCAAGTAAATCATTTGACCTCAGCCTGTGCTCGTAATCTGTAAGACAGAGATGCCTACTTAATGAAAGAGCCCATCAGGTATACGAGAGAATGTATAAACGGAATGAAAATTGGTGCCTAGAAGTAGATATTCAAGGCAGTTTCTCCCACATCTTTTTTCATATCACCTGACAAGCTTCTTTCATGTACTAAGACAGCAACAGCAGCAGTAAAAAGGGCAATATCAAAGAGAGCTCTCTTGAACCATTTATTTCCAATTCAAAATGGAGCTTTATCTTATATTTGCTGTAAATCTATATATTCTTCTCTTCCAGATGACTATAATTGCAAAGGAGAGCTTGCTTTGACATCTGATGGCAGGACAATAGTATACTACCACCCTTCTGTGGACATTCCATATGAACACACCAGACCTATGCCTCAACCAGATCCTGCCCATAATATTGAAGAAACACATGATCAAGCACTGAAAACCAGATTAGAAGAAAATGAAAGTGAATTCCTTGAGCAAGGACCCATGATAGAACAACTTAGCAAAATGTTCTTCACGATGAAGCATCGTTGGTATCCTCGTGGGCAGTATCACAGACGTCGTATGACACTGAATCCTCCAAAAGACAGATGATATTGAGATTCATGGGAGAATCAAAGAGAAACGTTATCCTGTGCTTAGTTTGCCACTGGAAGAAATACACTAATACTGTATGGTAATAGTCAAATAAAAGAAAACTAAAAAAA